ATATATGACGATATGTATTCTGTATGTATTAATATTTATCTGTATATACATGCATCTATATATCATGGATATTATATGAGTAGGACTGTATGTGTAATATACAGCAATATACTCTTGTATTTATGTGTAATATACACATAAATGTGTAATATACACATAAATAAAATAAATACAGGCACACGCACGTAGTACCTCATTCTGTTTGTATGATGATAGCATTTAGGGAAAAGTATTTATGGGGATTTTTTGGATGCTTTTCTTGAAGCAGCAGTCACATGTAAGTCACTCTGCTATGCGTAAAGAGTAACCATGTCTATCCTTTGCTTAAATTTATTTCATAGTCTGGCTTGGAGAAAAGTAGATAATTGCATGCTGAGTGATTACAAAAAAGGAAAGGAATAGTTTTAAATTTGAATGATTTGGTAGTTATACTTAGTTTATAACTGTTTTCTAATGCCAATTGATACATAGATGTCTGTTTCATCTTAGTGTCATTTTTCATGAAATAATTATGTAGAAGCATAACTAATTACAGTGACTTTTTGCAAGGTTTTTATAGTGAGCTGCTTTGATCTCTCTATCCGTTTTGTTCAGTAACTTGCATTAACAAGAATTTAAAAGAGTGTATTAGTCAAAATAGCTCTTTTTAATCATGGTTTTTTGGAGGTGACTAATTTGATACTACAGATTTCAGTGTGTTGAACTCTTCACTAAACTATTACTCCTTCTTTTGATGCTTCTTTACCCTGCATGATTAGGATACGAAGCAAGAATGGAAAGCAGAATGTGCCATTATCCACAGCAACTGTGTCTATGGTTCACAGTGTCCCAGAACTGAAAGTTAGCTCTGAGGTAAGTACCATCATGCTTTCTTTATTCATACCTTTCACTGTAGCTCCACACTTGAGAAGCTTAATTATAGGAGTTTCTTCAATGTTGTATATACTTCATACAGAAAGTTTGGCTTCCCTTTGAAGAGGAATTTGGTGTTGAACATCAGTAGCCCAGGGGTTTTGTGTGTTTACCCTAATGCAGATTGATTGTTATCAGGTTTTATAGTGGTTTTTTTAGAGCTGTGCACTGAAAAGATGGCACTTCTGTGACAGCAGCCTGAAAACTTACTACTTCAATGTTTTTGTCTCTAAGAATGAGCAGTTTGTGGAAAGTTCAGTTTTCCACTAGCTGAAATGTGTTCAAAGCTTGCAGTGTGTTTGAAACCTAGCTTCATCCTTCACTTTGAAGTTGTTCCCACTAGATATAGTAAAGCTAGTTTGTTTGCAACTTACCTGTATGTTAAATTTATTTCATTATTTTTCAAATATTCCATTCAGCTGAGTTATCAAAATATGCTTATTCATCCCTCAGTTTATTTAGGGAAAAAGCATGTTTATTTTGAAGATAAACATTCTATTTATCTTCCTTACCAACTTGATCTTTTGTTTCCTTTTTATGTTGCTGCTCGCTCTTTTTTTTTTTTTTTTTTTTGGGTAACTCTTCAAAGAACACCAATGAGAAGAAATGTGAAGATATAAGCAGCTGGAAGTGTCCTCATCCTAGAGGAGCGTTTCAAAGGGCAATCTGCACTTCGCTCCTGCTTCTTCATAATGTTCCACTTAACTTTGCTTTTAAGTTTAACTGTCTTGTGGGTAACACTGCAGCTTGCTGTTCAGAAGTTGTTAAACTGAACACAAAGCTTAATGTGGTACCTCGAAAGTTTGTAAATATGCACAAGAGGAGTAAACTTCTACTCGGATTTACTGGAGTATAAGGCCTTTGATGTCACTGCCCACATAGAATTACATAATCTAACTATTTATGTCTGAAGGCATATATTCTTTAAGCTCAGGTTGACAGGTATAATCATTTTTGTCATTAGCAACTTCAGTTTTATACTCAGCCTAGTGGTGTCAGCTGTATTGTACCTAAGTGATACAAAACTGCTGAATGTAGTGGCCAAAGTTTTCAGACCTATTGATGAATTTGTCCCTTGTGTACCCCAAAGCTACTGCTGTTTCCTCTCAAAACTCTTGGCCTTAAATTAATTCAGTGGTTATTTATTTATTAAATTTGGAAATTGTCGTGTTGAGTTTATCAGTTTTAAGAGTTACTAGTGTCACAAAGATCTGAGAGTAGACTTTGGGAATATTTTTTTTCTGTAGAAAAATTGCTGACAAAGCTGCCATCACTACAGTTATGTTGAAGCATCATTTCTTATGCAGTTAGTTTGTAGCAGAACTTCTTCTCGAGTTTACAATACACAAAAGGCAATAAACCTAATTTATTTCTTCTAAGCAAAGTTAGTTGTGAATATTTTGTTACAGCAAGCTGAGCAACTAGGAAGAGAAGATCAACAGCGACTGCATCGAAATCGAAAACTGGTGCTCATGGTAGATTTGGACCAGACATTGATCCATACTACAGAACAGCACTGCCAACAAATGTCTAATAAGGTAAGTATTTGGTGTTAACTTTAAAGCCAAAGTAACAACAGGAATATTTCTAACAATATTTAAATGATGGTTCTTTAAGAAAACATTCTGTGGTTAGGTAAAATTGTAGTTGAAGAATAACAGAAAATGAGAAAGAAGTCTTCTGAAATATGTTCCTTTACATTTAAATTGACAGTTTTCTTTCTTCCATTTATGCTTTCCTGCACTTTTCCATTCCAGTCACTTTAAGCGAGAAGTTTCAGGTAGCTATTTTTAATCTCTGCTTTCCTTCCTCTACAATTCACAAGCTGAGTACTCAGTAATGAGACTTTTTTCCCCTCCAAGTCTGAGGCGGATATAGTGAATTACTGTTTGAAATCCTGTGTGTTACTACGTCTGTCATTCCATGAATACGTCTAGTGATTTTTTTTTTTTTCTTCGGTTTCATTTTTCTGGGGGGAGTTTGAGTGTTGCGGTTTAATTTCTTCGTGAAACACTTGTCATTGAACTGGTAGGGACTATTGGGTTGTAATATTTCCAATTTGGAAACTTTGAAACAAAAAGCACGTTGGAATGTGTCTACAGTGTCTTGTACAGGAGGATGCAAATTCAAACTCCAGTGTCATGCAAACTGCAGTTGCTTAGTTCCTCTTCCCTTCCTCTTGCCATTCTCTCATGTCCAGTAGGTTCAGCATGTGTTTACACCTGCTAGCAAAAAAGAAGCTGTGAATGTACTTTGCAATTGAGAGGAAAGGGAACAGTGAATATTCAGCATAAAGATTAAAAAACCTTGTGTATTTGAAAGGCTATGTCTTCATCTGTATAAATGCATGTTTTGAAGAAAAACATTTTTTAAAAGATTTTGAGATTTTTTAACTGAGATCTTGATCTGCAAACTTCCTTCCTGGTTTGCTATCTGATGGTATGTTTCCATAGACATAATATTTTTTCATTCAACAAAGTCTTTCTCTGAGTTCAATATGTACTGAAACTAATTTGAATGAAGTTCACTGAGTAGTACTATTGGAGTGAGATCCTGAACTTTCTGAGAAATTTCTCAAGTTGCTTTTTTCAGATTGGTTTGCCGTAAGTAAAGATTTGAATGAAAGTTACCTTGATCATAAACTTTTCAACAGTGCAGCTTCCTGCATTTGAAAAACTTAGTGATGGTCTGACTGGCACAGAGGAAAAAGTACTTTGGATTTTATTCGTCCAGATAATCTTTGTGGCTAAAACTCGCTTTAGCCTAGTCAGACCGAGTAAAAGTAGTGGAAGTGATGGAAGAGGGCACTTCTGGAATGCTGGCGTTTTTGTTTGGTATTTTGATAATATGAAACATGCTTTTTCTTCTAGGGAATATTTCATTTCCAGTTAGGTCGAGGTGAGCCTATGTTGCATACTCGTTTGCGTCCTCACTGTAAGGAATTCCTGGAAAAAATTGCCAAGCTATATGAATTACATGTTTTCACTTTTGGCAGCAGACTGTATGCACATACAATTGCAGGTGAGTAGTATGTTACATTTAACAATATTTACATAATCAGCCTTCATACTCATATAACTAGTTTTCTTTCTGTGGTTGTTTTCAAGTATTTGTTCTTTGTTTTGTGCAAAAACACTTCCTAAATAGTCGTGTAAGTAGAATTCTTGGCTCATTTACAAGGCAGTGCCTGTATGGCATGTAATTTTAGAAAAAATCCTTTTTTTCCCATCAGGCATGTGCTTTTCTTGCTTCCCTGATGGTTGGAGAATCAGATTGTGGCATGACAACTAGTGCCTTCCTATTGAATTAAGTAAGAAATGATGCTGATGGGCTCTAAAAATGATCTGCAACATCACTTGTCATAGAAATCTAAAGCAACAGTTCCATAAAAATCAACAACATGAAATTATCTCCTCCTGTGGGGACCCCCCCCGCTGTTTCCTTTCACCAAAGGAAGTTTGGCTGCTATAAATCATTTTACAGTGGTTCTGTTTGTGTCCTGAAGCTGAGATGCGCTTATTTGAGGAAAAGCATGGTTCTAGCACTATTTTCACATATTCTTAAGAACTTAGAAATATTTTCTCCTAGTAACTGAAAAATTGCATTTAAATTATAGCAATAATAGTCTATGGTGTGGCTGAAATGTTTTCTTTTTTCCAACAAGCATAAAAGAAACCTACCCTGTTATGCAAGCATAACGGTCAAATTCGTGTTAGGAGTGTGACCATGCGTTTAAACTGTAAAATTGGCTTTTCCCCCATCTGGAGTCTTCCTTGACAGAATAGCATTTTCACTTCAGACTTTCGCTTTATTACGTCTGTCGGACTAAGGCAATACAATTAACAATGTTTTAGGTTATGACTCTGCGTGTCAAACTGCTCTTGCTGCTGTTCCATGTCTCCTAGCTTTTTTTTTCCAAGTTGTCTTTCACATCTGCTTTTTTTGTGTCATGTTGCCGTGCCTTGAGCAACACTTCCCAATGATCCCAAAGATTCCAAAACAGAGAGCTAACTATCCTAGTTAGCTCTAGAACAGTTAGAAAAGAATTGTGTAATAGAGAATTCTTTATGCATGTTAAATAAGCCACAGAAGATGCTTGTAATGACAAATATAAGAGACTTCTGTAATCAGAAAGCAATACCTAATGTGGTCTCCAACTAATTCTCCCTGAACGAACGTTCAGGAGAGGCATGTCCTGTCCTGCCCATACAAGTGTACGTTTCTACATTACTCAGTATTTATTGGCTGAGTTGTTTGAATAATCTTCCTAAAGTTTTGTCAGTCTCACTGTTGGATTTTACATTGTGTACTGCGAATGCATTAACGCTTTTGTACTCTGCTGTCCTTCTTAGAGTGTGGTTACTTCTTGCGTAGCAAAAGGGGAATGGTTTTCTTATACACAAGGTCTAAATATCTGGTAGTAAGAAAGTGGGATCTATGTGCCAAAATCTGCATGTGGCCTAAGGTCAGAAGATGTATACCAAATAAGGTCAGAAGACATATAGCAAATATACCAGGGAGAAGAATGAGTTGCAGAGGTAGCTAACTCATGATGTGTAAGTGCTTCACCAATGATTGATTTTTCTCTCAATGTGTGATTTGGTCCTCTGTTTGCTCATTTTAATCTCTGAGCTAAAATTTGGATTACCCTGCAGTCCCCATGCTGGCGCAGACTGATACTTATAATGTGACAAGCCTCTTTGTGGCCATCATGCTTGAGCTGCTCCATCTGTTCCATAGAGGAAATAGCCACCAAATGAGCAAATTAGGGTATTGCTGCTTCCTGACATCCCCAGACTTCTGGATTTTTGCCTGAAGCTGTCTAACCTCATTAAAAGCATTCAAACTACAAGTGGATTATTTATACAGTGATGATGATAGTTTCAGCTGAAATATGTCGGCATGGAGAAACAGTTGATATAGCCTTTGGTCCACATACACATACCTGTGTAACCAAGGTGCAGTAACAGAAATGTACAGCTAATACATATAGAGAACACTGGATGGCAGTATTGGTTAAATGATTTCTCAGAGAGCTGTCAGTTTGATATTTTACAGTTATCCCTATGCTACATAAAGGAAGGACTTGTAATAAAGCACCAGGAATCTTTTTCATTAGAAAAAGGTGGTTTTCTTAGGTCCTCCATATACATCCTGTATTTCTTTGTGAAATCTGAACTCTGAGCTGCTCCTTCCATGTCCTGGAAGGCTTTTTCCTCATTTTGCAAACAGATGACATCTTGTCAGTCCTTTTCTCTCATCCCAGCTGACTCCTATCAGCTCTTAAGTAGGATTAGCTGATATTTGTAAACACCATTTATGTCTGCTGAAGTCATTTATCCTAAACCCTTTCTTAGTTTGACACATTTACAAAGTGGTATCTTGTAGTACGTTTATGAAGATGAGTGTTGGATTTTATAATCTAGAGCTTCCCATAGTGTTTCTCTTCTACATAATTATTTTGACCATTTGTTACTTAATTTTTTTTCCTACTCTGTATAAGAGAAGTTCAGTGTATTTAATACTGAAGTCAGCTTAAATGCTGGTTGTAAAAGTCAATGCCACTGTGAATTTTGAGTTCAGAGGCCACTAGGCAACAATAATGCAATGTGAAATCTTAAGATTTATAGTGGGATTTAGAAAGTAGGACTAAATTGAGGGCATTCATATGTATCGTTTGTTACAGCAAGTATATTACAGTAGGTATTTCAATAAATAATTGACAGAATACATGCGTATATGTAATCACTAGTGTCTGAAGGTCTCCAATGCTATTGAAAGATTGGGTCAACAGCTGTTTCCAGGTTCTAAAGTAGGACCTGAAGTAGAACTGGAGGTGACCTGACTCTTCAGAAATTCAATTTTAGATTTATTTTTTAAAAGAACTTCTTCAAATTCATGTTGGATCCTACTGTTATATCACTTCTACTAGGAATTGCTAATTAACTCACTCTGTCTCTAAGATTTGAGACTTCCCCAATATGAGTTAGTTACTTTTGAACATTGCATCTTGTGATGTTTTTTTAGCCAATATAGCCTTTTCAAAGATTTCGAGACAATATTAACATACTATTGAAGAAAACACATTACGTATATGAATGAAATGTTACGTGTCATTTCCCTGAAATGTGAAAACATCAGGATTATGTCTGCTATATTGACTCAATTGGCTAGGCAACACCCAAAAGAAACCAAACAGTTTAAGACATGTAAAGAACTTCTTTAAAAGACCAGTGCTGTTTCCCATATTGCTATTCAAGTAGCTTAGCTTTGAAAGACCCGACTCTCTTAAGATGGGCTTTTATTTTTGCAGGTGCATTTCTGGTGAGCTGTATCCTCAGTGTATTTTTAGTGAATTATAAAGGGGAAAAAAGTATTAAAATTAATAAGTCTTTACCAAAGCATTATTGAAAAGCTCCAGAACACTACCTTATCTCTAATCCCTAGCAGCCAGGGTTTCTGCATTTGGGTTTTCTTAGTTCAACTTCCCTTTTCTTACAGTTTTAGCTGGACAACACTGCAACTGAATGCCTCATTGTGCTTTTTGCCATTTAATCAGTGCACTCCTGTCCAATTTAGTGTAGAGAGTCCCTGTGTATTCAGATAATTAGTAGAAGAGAATTTGGTTGGGGAGGACAGCAACTTGTATGACAGCTTATGTAGTTTGTCAAAATATCTGTGTGTATGGCAATAAATCTTTGTAGCTAATTCTCTCAATTCATTATGCCTAGGTACTGCAAGGGTCTCACTACAGGGGATGATTCTACGAGTTTGCAGCAATTCTTAAGCATAGTCGGGTGAGTTAAGGTTGAACCTCTGTCCTTAACTCGGAATTTTCTTGCTTTTATGGGTTTTAAGTTATTCCAATTACACATTAATATTGAATACATACAGGATCAACTTTTCATAAGTGATGACTGATTTTTTTTTTTTTTTTTTTTTAATTTATACCCTCTGTTTTTGAAGACCCAACTTAACGTACTCCTGGGAGCTGGACTTCTAAAAGGAGTTCAATATGTGTTCTCTGCAAATCTCAAAGCTCCTTGAAAGAAAATTAAAGTTGGTCCTTAGAGTCTGTAGTGATTTTGAACTCTGGTTCTGGCTATAAGATGGCCACCATTTAAAAAAAAAAAAAAAAAAAGTAAAACTTTAAAAAATTGTTCCCAGATAAGTATTGACTGCCTTGTATTATTCATAAGAATGAGAAGTTGATGCTAACTTCAATGCAAATTCAGTAAAATGAAAAATTCAGATTAGCATGTAAAATGCTAGTTTCTTTCTAAGCGATTATGTGGCTGTGATCTCATGAAGGTGAACTTCATTATTGGAGGCTAGGTGCAGAAGCATGTGCATGTGTGTACACCCAAGTCACCATTTTCCGAAATAATAGCATTTTATCTTGCTTCAAGATCAGCTAGCACAGCTTCTCCTGTTTTGTTTTTGGTTTGTCTTTTTTTTTTTTAGAGAGTGCAGTCAGAAAAGTTACTGCAACTGGGCCTAAATATTTCTAGGAATCCCAGGATATATTCATTATATGTAAATGCATTAAAGTATTTGTTAGAGGTACGACTTAAAACCTACAAATGCAAGAGCTCCGGCTGAAACTGTCCCTTAACTTGCCCATTGTGCTTAAGTATTGCAGCACATTGCCGACTCTTGTGAGACTTCTCTGCCGTCCCTAGGCATAATGAGCTAAGGAGAGCATTTAGCTTTAAAGAACCACCTGTAGAAAGATAAATGTAAGTTGCAAAAATCATGTGTATCTATCACCTGCTGCATCTCTTTCAGCCTAATTTATTTGGCTGTCACAAATTTAGTTATTTTAATTTCAGTTTTGTTGCTATGTTGAAAGAAAATGAGATGGGATTTTTAAACTTAATCCACTGCATTAGTTACAAATACTTGATCCTCTGTGCTTACCCTTTCCCCCATATAATATCTCTTACCTTAAAATTGTCTGTTAATTAAACTGCTGTTGCACAGTTAAAATAGCTGAATTATATAGAATATAAACAAGCAACAAACATTTTGAACATTAACTTTTTAATTTCTTCTTTCAAAAGGATTTTTGGACCCTGAAAAGAAGCTTTTTTCCCATCGGATATTGTCAAGGGATGAATGTATCGATCCATTTTCTAAAACTGGGAATCTTAGGTGTGTATATAGGTCTTATGCTTTAAACAAAACAGGACAACAGAGACAGAATATGCTAAATATAATAAAAATTACTCCCTCTGTACTTAACATGTTTATAGTCCTTCCTTATCTGCCTCTTAAATATCAACACCGTCTCAATAAAACTGAGATGTTAGGTATTGGAGCATTTAATCTACTTAATGTGTTCTGTGGTACTAGAACAGTAAGAATGTGCAGCAACGGCATCATGTTTTCATTTATACTTTTTATTCTTGTAATAACCATATTTCGACTTTATGGCTTGTGATCTTGTATAATGACTTCTATGTTGTGGTTTTTTTAATTAAACCAAAAGTCTCAGTTTGAGGTTAATTCATATCTGAATATCTAGTATTCTGGCTTTCAAATGTGCTATACGTCTAGCCGCTTCTGTTCTGCAGTGTTTCTTGAAATTAGGTCATCTAGAGCCTTGAATTCATATTCTAGTCTAAATTCGGGTTCTGATCTTTTTAAGATATAAAACCAAGATTTTTTCTAAAAGACAGATATGTTTAGTATTTCATAAAGCTAGATTAAAAATTATTGCCCCCTCCTCATCTGACCATAGCAAATGAAAAGCTTTTTTCTTCTCTTGCTGTGTTTTCATATGCATGTGTATATCTTAAGTACTCTACCTCCTCTGCCTAGATGATATATAAGTATTAGTACTTTTTGCTTCCTTTGTCTTAGAATGAATGAGTCTACTCTTTAGAAACTGTTCTTGTGTCTTTTTCGTAGATATATATAGAATAGTGTATTGTCCATGTGATAGCTGGCTTTGGGCTGTTCGTCAACACAAACTGTGAAAACTGGACTGAAATGTTGTAATGTTTTGTTCTTGCAAAGGCTTGTTGGTTCCTGCTTCTAGCCTTTAGGATAGAGATTTAAAAACAGCTGTTTCCTTCTTTTATTAACTTTAATTAGTTCGAATATTGAATTCTGTATTTTGAATTCTGTAATTTTAATATTGCTGAGGTTTTTTTTTTTGTAAGTTCATATATAAGTGTGTCCTGCTGACATACTCATGATAAACCAGAACATCAACAGAAACTACTTTCATTGATAATATTAATTTATAAAACTGGATTCATTTTATCAACTGTTTTGTCTCTTAGAGATCTCTTCCCATGTGGGGATTCCATGGTTTGCATCATTGATGATAGAGAGGATGTTTGGAAGTTTGCACCCAATTTGATAACTGTGAAGAAATATGTATACTTTCAGGGGATAGGAGATATTAATGCACCTCCTGGATCAAGAGAAATTCAAATGAAGAAGAAAGGTAATTATATAGTTTTTAAACTGCTTTTACAACTTCTTCCACTTTTCAGATGTGATTGATGTAAGTCATTGGGGTGGTCTTACTAGTATTGCTGTTGCGCTCAGATGAGCAATCCTAGACTGTTGTGGTTGACAGAGTGCTCCTGCAGCACAAATGCAAGTAGCTTAGTAAAACTGGACTGTTCTTGTTGATAGCTTTCCTTTTGGTGGACTACCACAGCAAAAGTGGAATACTGGTAATAGCATTTTGGCTGTTAGGGCTGGAGGGCTGATGTGGCAATACACCAAATTGTTCAAGAACATGTAGAGGAGGACAGTTTCTCTCCTCCCTCTGCCATGTAAAACAGGGCAGTTTTTTCTTCTCTGTAGGTGGTCAGGGAACAACTTCCTCTTCTTTCTCCTTTTCAGTCCCCTTCCCTGCCCCACTTTGGAACAATAGTTAATAAACTCTGGTCTCAACATACTGCTGAAAATGAATGTTTTGATCTCTGTGTACCTCCCCACCTAAATCATGCTAATAATAGTGTGGGACTTGTAGCATCTACTGAATGTGGTGTTCCAGCAGGCTCAGCAGCGTGATACAAATAGTGGATTTAGAAGGTATATATCACTATGTTAGTATTAATTTGGGGCCAAAATGTATTTGAAAAACAATGGCTAAGAAAGAATTGCAGGTTTTTTCCAGTTTAGCCAAGGGGTTTTTTTTAATTTAATATATGTGACATCACTCTTTTTCCCTCGTTGAACTACAGATGTCCAATATGGAAACAATAATACTGTACTTAAACTGAATCAGGCCACTATGACACGGGACCTTTACGCTTGACTGGTATTGTTACTTGCAGGGCAGGAACATGCACACAAAAGAGAGACAAAGCGGGGTGACTTCATCGAGTGTTCCTAATGGAATGTCTGTGTGCAAATTTCTGGATATCTACAGTTTCTTTAATTGTCTCTCTCTTCTTCTGCAGACATCTGAAGACACATCCTGTCCTGGTTTTGGCTGGGATAGGGT